CTGCTCGCGCGCCCAGGTTTTACCTCTTTATGGAGGCCGCCCTGCCCTGCCCCGTCCCGCCCACCACCACCAACCACCACCGTGTGTGTGCGTCACATCGATCTCCTACTTTCTTCCTTTTTTGCACCCTTCCCTCTGTTTCCATTCTCCATCGTGTTGTGTCCGTCCGACCGACCGACCGTCGGGGACCGGCGTCTATCGGGCCGGATATGTTCTGAGGGTTGGCGGGGCGGGGCGGGGTGCGCCGAGGGTGGGTGGTGTTCCAGAAGAACCACCGCCATAGTGTGCAGCAGTCAGTGGACACACACACACACACACACGCCCGCCCCGCCCCGGCCGGTCCGGGTCCGAGTGTGCAATTACTGTAATGGCGCGGCTAGTTCAGCCCACTTGCCCCGGCCCCGCCGGCCCCGGCCACCCCGCTGCTGACCGCGCCCCGCGCCAACTGAAATTGCAATTAAACCGTTTTCTGCATTGTAATAAGTTAAAAGGACGGGCTGCATGAGCAAGGGCGTGGCTTTATTCGCTTGCCTCCCCCAGAGAGGTTCTGCAGCCGACACACACCTGCCGCGCCCGGGCTCACCCGCCGGTCGGTATGGCACTTGAAAAGAAAACAAGAAGAGAGATGATGCGCGCTAAAAACGGAAGACAAAAAAAGAACTTGCAAATCATTCATGTTTTTCTGAGAGCCGCTTGGCTCTCCTCCCTCTCCGGAAATGCCCCCACGGTCGGTGTGCCGTCGCGCCGGGGCGGTCACGGCGGTCACATTCCCTCCGGCGCACAGCGGAGCAGAGCTGCTCGTTACGCGGCCGCGGCTCAGGAGGGCGGAAGTGCGGCAGTGGGCCACCTTGTGATTGTGACCACTCTGTGACCACCATGTGATATTGTGACCAATTGTGACCACTCTGCGATCACTCTATGCCCACCTTGTGATTGTCACCACTCTGCGACCATTCTGTGCCACCTTGTGATTGTGAACACTCTCACTCTGCGACCACTCTATGCCCACCTTACGACCATACCGTGTGTACTCTTTGCAGCAACCAGAAACCAGACCACTTTGCGAAACACTGTGACCACATTATGACCGCTTTGTGACAACTTTTAAACCACACTTTGATCACCGTGTGGCCAGTGTGTTATCACTGTGTGATACCAATGTGCGATCAAAGTGTAACCAATGTGTGATCACAGTGTAACTAATGTGTGATCACTGTGTGACCACATTGAGGCCAATACCCTTAAAAGTAGAACCTCAGTAAGTACTTTCATTGCAAGCGCGGGGCCAGCCGCTGGCTCGGGTTGTCCGCAGGGCGGAGGATGTGAGTTTCCACTCCCCTGGCAAAGCCTTTCCGCCGCGAGCGAGTCGTGTCCTACACGGCACTGGGTCCGACACTGCTCCCAACACTACAACCCAATCGGGAGGGGAATGGGCGGTGTGGAGAGGAGCCACACGACACGTTTCGGCTACCTGTAACCCCCCCCCCCCCCCTTTCAGACCCCGGAGCCTAAACCACCACTACTACACGATAGCCGAGGCCGAGATACAAGCTCGCTCGCACGCACGCCCCGGGCCCGGGGGAACACACACACAGAGACACAGAAAGGCTTTTTCATATCACGCAAACCGTCACAAACGGAGACTTCTAATAATTGTTGTAAAATAATTCGGAGCACAGTTCATCAATTGAATAGATTTTGGGACAGTAGATGAAAGGTTCGCCAACAGCGCCCAGTATAGTGGCTGGGAAGGAGCCCCCCCTGTCAACTGATGAACCAGAAAAGAGAGAGCGAGATAGACAAAGGACCTGCCATACCAGCGGACCAGCGAGACGAGACCCCCTCCAGCGAGAGAGAGCGAGTGAGAGAGAAATAGTGAGAGAGACGGGGAGAGGAGAGGCTGCGCTCCAATAAACTTGGATCCCCCCGCTCGCTTTACGAGCGTGCTGCAGCAGGGGATGAAACTGCCCCTGAAACTTCCGAACTACCACCCCTCCTCCTCCTCCTCCCCGACGCACACGCACATATCAGTGTGTGAATGTGTGTGCGTGTGAGGGCAGATCGCGCGTCCTGCTTCGACACGCTAGTGCAGCGAGATGTTATTTCTGCACTTCTAGAAGTGCTCATTTTCAAGGTTTTCGTTTCGCGCGCGCGCGCCTGCGCGCTGTCTTCGCCTGCTGCCGAGGGGAGTTTTTCTCCTCCTCCCATCTCTCTCTCTCTTTTGCTCGCTCCTCCGCGCCCACACGCACACCAGCAGCGCAGCGCGCGCGCAAACCGTTCGCCCGTGAGCAAGAGCAGTGCCGGGCCGTGGACAGATTTGTTGCGGACATCAAAGAGGGCAATCGCAAACCGCGCTCGCTGGCGCGCGCACACGCACACAATCACACATACACACGCACGCACAATCACACAAGCGCGCGCACACACACGCACAACCGCTGCCGAATCCATGTACGCGAGCCCCGCAGGCCCCGCAGCCTTGATAAGAGGCCGGGCATCGTTAAGCAAACACGTTTCGCACTTTCGCTGAGTTGCGCCGCCGCTCTGCCGCCGCCAAGCAGCACACTGCCAAGCAAACAGCCATACCATCATTTTATTCCTGGAAAAAGACAAGTCATTTTACCGTGCCTCTCTTCTTTTTTCTAAAAACACAAAACGAGATCCACCAAAAAGGTTTCTCTCGTTGGCGATATTGCCAAATATCGGACATCCGCCGCCCGCCGCCCCTCTCCCCTCGAGCCATGCAGAACAGCGCGCTTGTATTCCACTACGGCCCCCGCCATACGCGTATCGTTTTGCTCGCGTTTGGCCCGCGTGGCGGGGCGGGGCGAGGCGGGGCGGGGCGGGGCGAGGCGGGGCGAGGCGGGATGGGGCGAGGCGGGGCGGACAACCGGCCGCTGGTACCAGAGGGGCGCAAAGGAAAAGGTTAAGTCTGCGACAAACACGTCCAGAAGCCGTCCGCCGGGCCGAAAGGACAATTAAAACCGGCGTTGCTGTGGCCGCGACGGGGCCGGGCGGCATTTGGGGACCGCAGCGGCGGCATGGCACGGCGGGGCGGGCCCAGAGCCAGCAGCGCCTAAAAATGTCAAAGGTAAATAAGGAAAACACGAAGGAAGGAAATAAAAATACCCGTCGTCACTGACGCGCGCATGTGGAGTTCCGGCGGCATGGCGCGATGCTAAAGGGTGGCGGCGCTGGCGACAAATCAGGGCCCAATAATATATAAATATAAGAGGGAGCCGACGACTTGCCGCGCGCCTCCCTCCCCGCGCGCTCCATCGCTTTTGCGAGCGATTGCGTTCATTAACAGACACGAGGCGGCGGTGCCGGCCGAGGGCTGTGCACCAGTTTGCTAGTTTGTTCGCGGCTTGTCGCCGACGAGTATATTGCGTACTGGTGAAATGGCGCGAACAATATATATACACACACCATCAGCTGCGGAGTGCGAGCAGCAGAGGAGGGTGGCAGCAGAGCCGGCGCCGGTGCGAGGGGCGGCACGGAGGGGTGGCGTGGAGCAAGCCGTATAGCAGCGTGGCTCGGCTCGGCGCTCTACAAGTCCAGCGGATTAGCGACAATTTCAATGCCGATTTGCACACAAATGAGCTCCACCTCCCCTCGCCCCTTGGCTCCCTTCGGCCCGCCCCCGCGCGCCACTTGTTGCGGAGCCGGGAGCCGAGACGCCGCCGACACTTGCGGCCGCGAGGAGGCCTTCTGTCGCGCGGGGCAACACACACATTTTCGCGAGACTGCTTTTTATTTGCATGAGCAATAAAGAGTCGATCGCGCGGTGGTTTTATATATATGGAAAGTAGTGGCGATGATGATCATTTCACGATGACAAACTGGTTATTCCATGCAAGGTGAGGTGAGCGAGGGAGGGAGGGCTCCGGGACACCTCGGGTCACCTACGCGCCGCTATATACCAAGCACACGCGCCGACGACGACGGGTGCGGACGGACTGTCGTAGTACCGTCGGGCTGCAATTAAACTAAACGGACTGACCCACTTGAACGAGAGCGGCTACAGAGCAGCGAAGACGTGCGGTGCGTGCGTGAGAGTGACGGCGGCGGAAGACAGAGAGAGAAAGAGAGAAAATGAACGACTGATAGGAGCTTCCTTCCAAACCGCTCCAAACGCGCTCGCTCCGCGGTCTGCAGGCACTACGCTCCCCGCTCACCGCTTCGCATGACAATCTCGAAAGCCTTGCCGTGTACTCGCGCTCGCGCTCGCGCACACACACACTCACACTCACGCACAGGCGTACCGACACGCACTCACACATTCTCACACACTACACACACAAGTTATCCTTGCCCCCCTGGCGCTACCCGGCGCTGCGCGCGGTAAAAGGTGTTTTCAGCTGCGAGCGGTATAGCAGCGACAGGTGCAGCAGCTAGCTATAGCGAGCCGGGCCAGGACAGCTGCCGCACCTGCCGACGGTGTGCGCGAATGGGGCGTTGGGAGAGGTGAGGGAGATCAAGTTGATAAAGCGTTCAACGTGCGCGCGCGACACAGTAATTCGAGGTTAAAAGTGTGAAACACGAGTAAGCCCCCAGCATCCTTTGGCGCGCACAACACGATTTCCTGGATTTGATTCGCCGCCGAGGAGAACCCGAGAGCAGAGCAGAACACCGCACCTAGAGGGGCACGACGGCGTAGGAGGGCGAGTCCGAGCGAGCAGCCAAGAGCGCGCGGGATCAGTTTCCGAACGAGGAGGTCTAACAAGACAGAGGGCAGCAACACGAGAAGCAGGTCGGCTAGAGTCACTCTGCACAGTCCGAATCACGAAACAAGAAAGAAGAAGAAGAAGAAGACCGCTCGCGACTCGTTTCGTCAGCAACGCGGAAAAAGTCTCGGACTCTTCTTAAGTCCCGACCTCATTGCCCCTCCTCCCCCCCTTTTCCTCTCTCACTCGTAAACGTGACAAGATTATTGACTATATCGCGATGCTCATGCTCGGCGTGACACCTGCGTGACGGTAGCCGGACGCCGGACTTACTCGATGTGACTGGAGCAAGAAGCAGTGCGCGCGCGACGCCCCCGGTCCCGCCCCGCCCGAGTGTGGGTCAGCGAGGTCAGCGGCCTACCTGCAACGAGAAGAAAAATGGAGATCAAGTCAAACAGTCAAGAGGAAAAGGGTGCGAACAGACTCCTCCAGTGAGGTGTACTACAGCTGCTCCTAACTCCAATGTGTCGAGAAAGGCTCAGTCGGCCGGAGGGGCACACAGACAATCAACGTGACACTAAATAGATAGGCTTATGGCGAAAGGGGTTGAGGGAGGGTGGGGATAAGAGGACGTAAGCGTATTCAGGCCGTGAGCCAATTGTCATTTCTATCGCGACGTTGCGCGCATTTCTCATTCGTTATCAATAAGCGTAATCACTCTCTCGCTCACACACACTCTCCTCATATACACACGCTTCGAATCAGTTATCAGGTGTAGTTGTGTGGTTCCCAGACCGGCCAGCCGGTTAATTTACGAGCAGCTCGGCGTGGCGCGGCGGGACAGAGAGGCTGGCGGCCGTCAGCGGCAGCGGCAGGAGCAGCAGCAGCAGCCGGCTGCAACATGGCCTGGCCGACCAGCAGCAGGAAAACAAACGCCGGCCCGGCCTGGTCAGGTAGAGGTAGGTATGCCGTCGGAATGCTCGGTATGCAGAGCTCGGTATGCAGCGGTATGCAATGGTATGCAATCGGAATGCCGTGCCGCAACGCTTTTGCCCCAGCAGGGCCCGGCCCGGCCAGACCCGCGCACCACGCCGCCGATGCGTATCTGTATGCCGGGCGGGTAGGGCCCCGGCCGGCCCCGCCGGCCCCGCCGCGGCAGCTACGGCAACCCAGGGGCTAAAAACCAACCTGCTCGCTTGCTTGTTCGCCCCGCCGCGCCGCGCCAAGACCGGCTGTCCAGGACCCGCAATGACAAT